CACGACCTTGTACTTGCCAGGCAGGCGCTTATGCCACTGACCTATATCCCTAGCCCCTAGGCTGGGTTTAAACTTGTGAGCCTCCTGCCTCAGCCTCCCAGAGTGTACAGATATGTGCTACCATGCCCAGCTTTCCTCAACTTTTTTTCTTGATACAAGGGTCTCACTATGTAGTGCAGGCTGGCCTCCCTCGGCTACAAAGTGAGCTCAAGGCCAGTCTGAGCTGTACAGCGAAACTGTCTCAAAAAGACCAAAAAAAAAAAAAAAAAAAACAGTGGCAGAGCACAACTTTTATGTTTTTATGTATCAGTTAAAAAAAAAAAGAACAGGCTGGCCTCAAATTTACAGCAGTCCTTCTGCCTCAGCCTCCTGAGTGCTGGGATTATAGGTATGCCCCACCATGCCTGGCTTTCTCAATACTTTTAGTTGAAAAAAATTTCAGATGTATAGAAGAATAATAATACAATCAACCCCTGTGTACCCTTTACCTCCTGTTATGGTTTGAGTCAAGATGTCCCCTCAAAGCCTCATGTGGTTTTATTTTTTAAATTTTTCTTAATCTTGTTTTGGCATTGGGAATGGAACTCAGGACCTTGCGCTTGCCAGGCAGGCGCTGTGCCACTGAGCTAAATCACTGACTCTCTCAAGCAATTTTAGATGGGCCTTTTTGGAGGTGGCTGCATCTAGAGTGTGTGATTGATTGGTGGTACAAGGGTGGGATTAAGGGCGTTGAAATTAAGGGTGGGTGACTGCAGGATCAGTACACTGATGGGATCGGCACCACCTAATCCCAGTAGACTGGATACAATATAAGGGACAGAAAGAGGCTTTCTCTCTTGTTGCTTTTGCTGTCTTCTGCCTGCCATGAATTGCCTTCCTCTGTAAAGCCACCCTGCCTTCCAGCCAGCCAGCTATGGACCGAAACCTGTACAAACTCTGAGCTAAAGCCAATGTGGTGGCGCATGCCTGTAATCGCAGCACTGGGGAGGTTGAGGCAGGAGGATCATTGCGAGTTCAAGGCCAGCCTGAACTGCATAGCGAGGCCCTGTCTCAAAAAGATGAAAAACAAACAAACAAATAAAAAAACAAACAAACAGATTGTGAGCTAAATAAACCTTTCCTCTTATAACTTTGGGTGTTGAGGGGCTGGGGATTTAGCTCAGCGGCACAGCGCCTGCCTGGCAAACTTGAGGTCTCGAGTTCGATTCCCGGTACTGTAAAAAAAACAAAGAAAAAAAAATTTTGGGTGTTGGGTATTGTCTTAGCAATGAGAAAAGTAACTAAGATATCTACACATACAAGAATTATTTTTTTAAGTACTGGAGATGAAAGCAAGGGTCTTGGATATACTAAACAAGTGCTCTACCACTTAGCTACATCCCCAGCCCAGGAATTGTCAATATTTTGCCGTGTCTGCCTTCTCCTGCTAATTAATGAATTAATTATACAAATATGAAAATTGGGCTCTAGATAGTTCCACAGGTGTTTCCTCAGAGGAAGACCTTGTCCTTAGGGAACTGCAGCACAGTGGTCACACTTGAGAGTGGCTTGAGAGTGGTTACCTAGTGCCGTCCACAGTCAGTTTTCCTACCTGTCCCCAAAATACACCTGAGCAATTTTTAAGTTTTTTCACCAAGACTGGGTCAGAATTGTGGGTTGCTCATGGCTGCTGTGGATCTCACCTGTTCTTTATTCTTCAATCACCTCTATTTTCCTCATATTTTATGAACAATGACTTCTTTTTTGTTTTGTTTTGTTGTTTTTTCCTGTCCTGGAGATTGAACCTTGAGCTATTCCCCAGCACTTTTTAAAAAAAAATTTTTTTTTGGTCTTTTTTGAGACAGGGTCTTCCTATGCAGTTCAAGCTGGCCTTGAGCTCACTTTGTAGCCCAGGCTGGTCTTGAACTCACAATGATCCTCCTGCCTCGGCCTCCCGAGTGCTGGGATTACAAGTGTACACCACCAAGCCTGGCTCTTTTTTTTTTTTTTTCTCTGGTACCGGGAACCGAACTCACAACCTTGCGCTTGCCAGGCAGGCGCTTTGCCGCTGAGCTAAATCCCCAGCCCCCTTTTGTTTTTTTGTTTTTTTTTTTTTTTGTACTGGGAATCAAACTCAGGGCCTTGTGCTTGCTAGACAGATACTGTGCCACTGAGGTACATCCCCATAAAAATGTATTTTGAGACAGGGTCTCCCTGAGTAGCCCAGGCTGCTCTTGAACTTGTGTTGATCCTCCTGCCTCAGCCTCCCAAGTGCTAGGATTATAGGCATGCACTACCAGGCCCAGTTTAACATTGACTTTTTGGACAGCCCTGGCCAGGGACTTTATACACTATCCTCCAATGGGTATTGACTGACTCTTCATGGTTAGAGTCCAAGCTAAATAATTCTGACAGGAACACCAGACAGTCATAATGTGAAAGACCAAGCATCTGGTGGGGTGGGATCTCCCCCATGGGTCTTAGCCTCTGTTAAGAGGGAACCCTTCCCAGGGAGAAGTGTTCTCAGGAATGCAGAGCTTCTGCCTGAGTGGAACTGTGCTGAGCTGCTGCTTAAAATATGTGGTAGTGAGGTTCCCAAAGCAGTTACAGTAATGTGAAGAAGGTACAGTTCACCTTGGCTTCAGGCTTCCAGCCCTCTGATAAGATGTCTCAATGCCATGGAGTGGCAAGAAGGCCCTATAAGGTCTGTCTCCAGGATGTCTAAGCTTTTTGTTCCCAAAGGGAGCCAGCAACCCCTCTGACACACCCTGGCAGGCTCAGCTCTGGGCAGTGCTGTTTGCTCCTTCTGGAGGATTCTGCAATTTTCTTCCTTCCACTGTGGGCAGCAGGTGCTCTTGACCGAGGACAAGGGACTGAGAAGGCCAAAGGGCCTCAGGCTTGGGGATGGAGCTGTCCTGGATCCAACCACCTCCTTACCACAGAGGGGCTGTGAGAACATCTTATGCTTCGAGCAAATGGTTTAACTTTTCTTTTTGTCTTTTTGAGACAGGGTCTCCCTGTGCAGTTCAGGCTGGCCTTGAGCTCACTTTGTACCCCAGGCTGGTCTCAAACTCACAACAATCCTCCTGCCTCAGCCTCCCAAGTGCTGGGAATACAGGTGTGCACCACCGTGCCATGCTCTTTTCAGAGTCTCACAATGTAGCCCAGGCTGGCCTTGAATTTTCAGTGATCCTCCTGCCTCATCCTCCCTGTGCTGGGATTACAGGCGTGCCTAGACCTACTTTAAAATTTCATCATACAGCTGAGTGTGGTGACATGTGCCTGTAATCCCAGCACTCGGGAGGCTGAGGCAGGAGGATTGTTGTGAGTTTGAGGCCAGCCTGGGCTACAAAGTGAGCTCAAGCCCAGCCTAAACTGCATAGAGAGACCCTGTCTCAAAAAGACCAAAAAGAAAAATTAAAAAATTAAATATGTATTAAAAAATAAATAAATAAATAAATAAATTGCTTAAGTTGGCCTGGAACTTGAGTTCCTCCTGCCTCAGCCTACCAGGTACAATTCAATCATTCCTTTTTCCTTTTTTTTTTTCTTTTCAGCCATTTCTTAATCACACAAACCATCATTCTTTTCCTGCTGCTGACTTGTACCTCTGTCCTCCTGTAATCTGTAAACAAAGGAGGGCTGTGGTGCCCAAAGCAGTGGACATTTCCATGCAGCCCAGCCTCAATACGGTGGATGTGTCAGGGTGTCCCCGGAGGCTCAGGACTGGCTGGCAGGCAGGAGTGAAGCCCTCTGCAGAAGTCACAGCAGGAATATCCTCAGGGAACCCTGCCGAGGACTCTGGGTTCTAAGTGTGAATGGCCCTGGGAGT